GTTAGGTGCGTGGGTGCATAATGCAATAATCATTTGTCATGCATATTCATACTTGGAGATGCATACCTGTCATCTATCCCACATCTTTTGCACTGAGACATGCTGTAACATTCACACTGATTATCTTTATTCTCTGCTCGGTCACGATGCTTTCCACATAGTAAACAACTCCTTGCGTCAACCACTGCCCGGTATGGTCTCCAGTGTATCTGATAAAGGTCGTATACCAAGATTGAAGCCACTGCAATAACTTCTGCAGACCCCGTCGACGTCACAGCCATTAAAATCATCAACGTCATCAATATAGCGCCAACTTTTCCCATGAGTATATATGCCACAGTTGGAGGTACAAGCCCTAGTGAGTAAAGTAAAACACATTCATCATATAGTACAGGAATGGAGAACAGAGAATAATCGGCCAATGAGAATATCGGAATAATGTAATGAAAATATGGGACAAGATGAATCATGGAGTAATGTGTTTTTTCACCTTCATTTACTTCACTCTCAGTCAATAGATCTTCTCCGTTTGCTGTGCTCAAAGCCACATATGCCAGTCCCATAGTAGTGGCAAAAGTGAATGGTATAGCAAACCATGTAAGTCCACCAGTGATAAATCCCCAAATGCCTTGTCTTGGTTTGGCTGCCACGCTGCTTTGCCAATAAGACTGGTCTACAAAAACTGTGCCGAAGTTACCTGTATAAGACAAAACTTTCCCAAATACTAAAACCACACTATGGCGAAGTGTGCGAGATATACGACAACGCACTTATTTTATAGTATACAAATTTGGAACTCACCCACCACATTAATTATACCGAACATTAGACCGCCTCTTGACAGGAATGTTAGATAACTATTATCTTGGTTGCTGTCTGGACCAATAGCACAATTGAGTAAATTGTAAACTTTGTCTGGTGTGCCTAAACAAAAATAATATGAGATGTAAAATCCATGTCGTTGTTTAATTATATAGTTTCCAATTCAATATTGAAAACACAGTTAAACTAAACATGGCTTGTCCTGTATATATATATTATTAGGTAGATTACGGAAGAGGGTGCGAATATCAATAAACATGGCTTGTCCTGTATATATATATTATTAGGTAGATTACGGAAGAGGGTGCGAATATCAATAAACATTTTTAAGTGTTATGGCTTGTGTTCTCAAATGTAAACTGTTTATGCTCAATGAGTTTAACTACTTGCTTGGGCAGCCTTTTCCTCTGAAGCTTAATGGCTTGTTCTATATTTTCTCCTTCGACTTATGCTGCAAGTTCTATTCTTTCTATATGTATATTGAGCAGCCATCCAATCCTCCTCTCCAGTTAAACCAATTTGGCCCCTGTATTTGTAAATAGGCAACAGTCGGATTGCTATGCTTGCCAAAGCAGGTAATTTAGCCATTATTAGAATCTAGTTGGCTATGATTACTATGACATTGCACAGGCAAAATCCAAACTTCACTGATAATACAGACTAATTATACACTACTGTGTGATTGAAATTGTAAATAAGATATGTGTAAGCGTAACCAATTACATATACATTATATTGGTAACCCAAAGAAATTCACAATACAGCATACAACATATTCAGCTATATACTATCCCATTTCTGACACCACATATCACAAGGTCACGGGACGGTCAAATATTAACCTAAAACACCAAATAATATTCTATATTTTTACCACCTCATGTGCGGGTTTTTAACCAAGAAAAAATTACACAATTTGTGTAACGGGGGAATAATTTCGCCGGTTGACACCAATATAGTTCAATACAATTATAATGCACACCGGTTAATCTAATGCTTGGTATGGTTCTCAACTCCGACAGTATCACCGCCTCTCCAACGTTCAGCGCTATACGCGGCTCCCCCTGCGTACCAATGCAAATACCCGGTCAAGAGGCGGGGTCACGAAATTACGTACTGTGGACATCACAGAAAGATTGGTAACCTTTGTTGGACAAGGTGACAAACAGCAACAACCGCAGAATCACACTGTCTCACTTTTTAAATACAATGACGTTACACAGCTAATTGTGTCAATCCTTTAGTGGTCCACATCACTTGTTCATTCATCACACGGATAGTCGTCAGTTTTGTTCAGGGGTGACATCGGGGTCACTTAACACGACGTAATTTCGGTTCGTGTAGTGTCAAATGCGTCTACTTACTGGGCTCTAAAACCTACTTCTGTGGGCTGTTATCAATTTATACTATGACAAGGAATACATAATTAAATCACTTGCATATAACCCGTAATACATTACAATAATTAAATACACAGTTGTGTATCTTTTCACAAAACAAAATTCGTTCTTTATAATACAACCCAGACACGTCTTAATCCTTTTGTGTCATTTATGTCACTTTCCATGTGCTAGTGCGAAGGAACAGTGGTAACGAGAGGTTTTGATCAGAGGTATTGCAGCAGTCAATAAATATTACATACAACCTACCAAACATACTTGCGTCACATTAGTAATCTTCCACTAGAGGGCATGACTTTATAGAAAAAAGTCGTTTGTATCAACTTACAGTTATATCAACTAAATCAACTTACCAAGAGGATTGTCTTCCACATCAGGTTCATTGTAAATTTTCATCACAAATATAAGGATAATGATGAATATTAAAGTTGTGTTGAAATATGAGACGTAAAATGTAGCACCAAGTCCACCAACAAATGTATATCCACCAATAACAGCCACTATAATCATTGCAGCTAACTCTAAGCTTAAGTATTCTACTAGTGTTGTCATGGCAGCAGCAGCACCTAAGCGAAAGCATACTGATACTAAATAGAAATAGCGAGCAATAAATTTATGATGGTAAATTGATAAAATGAATAAAAACAATCATTTGGCATATGTCAGCTATCTTAGAAACTGAAATTATCTTACATAACTGCGACCCTTTAGAGTTCAATGCATTTGTCTACACACTATGCCTTCATTCGACCTCTCGAAGTACAATGCAATACTAGTATATTATAGAATACACTCACCTAACATCAACATTGCTGTAACAATAATATTTGTCAATAGAGCAAAAAAACAAAACACCACATGGACCTTTTTGCCAAACCTCGCTTGTATGACCTGCAAAAAGGTTTTGGCCCCAGGAGCTCGTATCTTCAATTCAATGGACGCCATGGCGAAGAGAATGATCTGTATAGTGGCCCCAGATGCATACCAAAATGCTCCGCTAATCCCATACTGAAATAACAATACATTTATTACGTGCAATCTGTTGACACTCATATATACATGAATGGTTCATATGTAAAGCTATCTGAGACTGCGTTAAGAACAGCCACTTTACAACTAGTATGCTTGAAATGGCTTCATGTTTATGACTTTCAAATACAGTTATTATCTTACAAAACTTTTTTAATCAAATGAATGGATTTAGTTATTGCAATCATGTATGCAGATGCGATGGTCTAGAAATAAATTTTACACTTGTAACTCAGTTATAAAGTATAATCTTATCAGACATTCTAATGTCTTCCTAAGATTGGGCACTTGGTGAGGCGACTATGAATACTGAAGGCATAGTCTTTTAGATGTTCCTGATAAAAAGTAAGTGATGATGCCAAAAGACCACATTGGATACATGGTCTAGCAAAGTCTGCAAAACTAGCTTATTGTCTTTACTTTTGATATCATGTATATGTACCCCAGAAGCTCTTTGAGCAAGCAGGGTCTCCTGCTTACTTAGTTCTAACTACCAGTATATTGTCGACGTCCATCTATCTCACCAGAGTCTGGCAACTGCTAGGTTAAACCCCCTCAAGTAACAAGAGATTAAGTATTTATGAATTTTGCCAGTTGAGCAATTCCTTAATTCCTTAAACTCATAACATATGTTCACTATATTTCCAGCAGGTGATCCACCTAGGTCTTTGTAAACATGAAGAAGAAGAAGTATGTTAACCATCAGTTATGGACTGTGAAGTGGTATGTGAAACTTTAATTTTTCTATGGGACTGTCACCCCATTTTTCAGCAATTTTGCTGACTCAATGAATCAATCCAATAAGTTGTCCCAAGGCAGTGACCACTTTATGCTTGGATTATCAACGAAATTTAATTTTCATTGCACATGACTGAGATTTACAACAGAAACTTTGGCATTGGGACTCAATTATGTTGCATAGACAATTTTGTGACTTGGTTTTCACATGTCAGGTCAATTGCTTGTTTATGTGACACCTTGAATTAGATGCAAAGAGTCTCGTAGAGGGCACTCTGTTGAAACTGGTTGTTCAGTCAGCAGAATTTTCATTAGCAGTTTAGTCATGGCAAACTTCAATTTACCTTGTTCAGTTCTGTAGTAGAATAAATTTGTCTCCTGGGATCAGGAGTACGAAATCGAGCTGGTGTAATGGTCGGATTAAGTTGCCCAAGGAGCACTGACACCCCCCCCCCCACACACACACACACTCCAACAAGCACAACACGCGAATTACATGAATTGGTAAACCAATAGATATGTGAAGTGGTGCTCTGTGGATATATCCAGATTGTAGCTACAATGGCGAAGTTGCTGTGAAAGACAGTTTTGTATTCGATTTAGCTGCATGCTTTCCATTCTGATGTAAAGTAGCCAGTGCAGTAGATTAATACTGCTGTGAATGCAGCAAATTACCTTTTTGTTGAATTATGTATTTGTACTGCTTTTTGTTTGGTATCAGTAATCGAAACTCATTAACGAGAGTTTGTGATTTTTAACTTGATATTCGAAATACAATAATTTTGCATTGAAAGATGTATTGATAATGAGATGTTCACCTTAGCCGTTACTGTGGACGATTGTAGCAGGCCAGCTGCCCACGTCCACTGAGAGACTATTGTGGTAGCTGTCAGTCCAACTGACACTTCTCCGCCTGCATCAAAGTCAGTGTCAAGATTATCCTGAAAACAAAAATAAAATACTTAAAAGCTAGAATAATATTTGGTGGTGCGAAGAAGATTCTTATTGGTAGAACGAAGCATGCAACTGGTTGTATACTTTAGTATAAATGAAACATACAATTGCCAGAAAAGAAATGTTTTAGAATTTCATCTACCAATATGCCAAATCTAGACTTGTCGGCGCCACTTGATTGACGGGCGCGTGATTTGGGATTACTATTTCATAGGGGTTGTCGGCTTGGTGAATTGCAAGTTTACAGCAACCATTCCTTATTTTTTTATAATTATATTGTAATTATTTTCAGTAATTTTGAAAATCACAAGTTGGGTGTTGCTTAAATCTGTCGCAAAATGTCAACCCCTCGCTCATTTTAGTCAGTTGTACCTGTTACAAAAATGGAATAGACATAATAACGGTCGTTATGCCCCGTCATTTTCAAGTTGCAGTTGAAAAAGTGATTCGATCAAGGAAGACACTTTTGATTTGAAGTCCATCAAACCGTTATAATCGAGTTTTCCCACCTCGGTATAAAATCTGAATTTGATACATAATGCACCAGTAATGTGGCCCAAAACTGTCACGAAACTGCAACGCGTCCCTCTAAGAAACTTTACTATAGCCTTCCAGCCAATGACGGGTTCATTCCTCAGCTCCTTAGAGCGAGGTTTAGCCAGGCTAAACTTGCACGACTTTTGGCCACGATTTTGTCGTGGCAAGTCGTGCCATTTTGGGGCATGAACTGGGAGGCTCCCACACTGTTTACGACTTGTTCACGCATAGTTCACGACGAGTTCACGAATAGTTCACGAATGCGTGTCCGTCAGTGTCCAAATTGACATGAACTGGCATGACGAGTTCACGCATAGTTTGCACATAGTTTAAGCACTTCCTGCATTGGCACAACGAGTTTGCACAATTCGGACGGTGTTGTGCCGACTTGGGCACGCCATATAAAATTTTGGTCATTTTTGGATTGGCTGTGGAAGAGACAACATGCTGAATGTCAGAGACACAATCATTGCAGGGAAGAGAAGATGCCTATACCTGGCAGCTGCTCTAGTCATTGTTGAAGAGCAGCAGAAAAGGCTGGAAGAGGCAGAAGAGCAAAAAAAGGCAACCCCACCTCGAAGAAAGACACAGATGATGTGGGTCAGGGAATGGTTGACCAGAAGGCACGAGTTTGGACAGTATGACAGTTTACTGACTGAACTCCACAAGAAAGATCAAAGGGGCTACAAAAATTACCTCAGAATCACACCTGACCTGTTCCAAGAAATGATTAAGAAGTTAACTCCTCGCCTCCAAAAGCAGTCCACCTTCATGAGGGAACCACTTCAAGTTGAACTAAAGCTGGCTGTCACCCTCTGCCACTGGAAATTCCTATTCAAGTCTGCAGTACAGCTTCAGGGTTGAAGAAAGTACCAGCTGCAAGTTCATACCCGAGGTGTGTAAAGCCACCATGCGTCGGATAGAGGAACATGGGGTAACTGTTCCCTGCATGATGCTGTAGAAGAGAACAAAGCTGGAGTGCCTCAACCAGAACCACTCCCTAATGATGACCAGCCAGTGCCTTATCACTTCGTAGGGGATGACGCCCTTGATCTCAGAACCTGAATGATGAAACCATTCTCCCATCGGTTACAGGTCCTACGAAAACGCATTTACAGCTACAGGTTGTCTCATGCCCGACATGTCGTGAAGAATTCCTTTGGAATTTTGTGTCAAAGGTTCCGTTGCTTCTTGAAGACAATGCATCAGCACCTCGAGACCATCAACTTGACCACCATGTGCGCCTGTGTCCTGCACAACCTCATCCTCATCAGATACCCACACACAATTTTTAGAAGTAGACCGCGAAGATCCGGACACAAATGATCTGATCCCTGGTGAATAGAGGACTGACCAACACCTGCAGGGGATGTTGCCTCTAACCGGCCATCATACCCAGAAGAATGCAAAGGATCAGCGAGACTGCCTGTCACATTACTACAAGTCCCCTGCTGGTGCTGTCCCTTGGCAAGAAAGATTGGTAAAATAAAAGAAATAAAACATTCTGTATCATATACTGTGAAATTCTCCGTTTCTAATTTGGTGAAATGTTTGTGTGAATGACACTTTAATAACAAATTTACCAAGTTGTGTACATGATAAATTAACTGCTGATTTTCAACTAGAAGAATGCCTTCAGAACTGTGCTCCATTATTCAAATGCATCATCTTGTAAAAAAAGAAGAATTATATCAAATGAAGATTAAAAGTGTGTGTTTGTGTGTGTACATGGGTGTTGGGAGTGGTTAGTTTAAATTGTAACTTTCAAATTCAAGAATGTGTGTCTGTCTGTATACATGTGTGTGTATATGTGTGTAGGCTGGCTGTCAACAGCCAGTTAAACTCACTTACAGAGCCTAATTTTTTTGGGGGAAAGGGAGTTTTGTTGTAGTTTTTTTTGTTTTTTTGTTTTTTTGTTCGTTTTTTTTCGTTTCTTTTTTTTGTTTTCGTTTCTCTTTAACTTTATTTTATGGTTAAAAAAAAAAAACAAGTGTTTTGAAATAAGATAATTTATTAACATGAAAACAGCAAACAACATGTATGTATAATTATCACAGTCCAACTAGTTACAACTATTTAAAAGTCTCTCAATTGCATTCACTTCCAAAAGTCTCTCTCTTTGTAAAATCGCTCACTCGGTGACCTTGATGGTGCTGGTACCGCTGGTGGGGATACCCGTCGGATTGGTGGTGTGTCAAGTTCCTTGGAGGTGAAGAGGGTAGAAGGTCAAATACCCTCTAGGCAGCTGTCGACGGACCCCAGGGTCAGGGTAGAGATGCTGAGTGGTGTTACAGGTGTCTTGAAGGTGGCAGACAGCGACAAGACTGAAGGTGTTGATGAAGGAGCCTTGACAAAGCTGGTTGACGGTGCAGGTGGCATCCCTGGTTCCTACTCCGTGGTGTGGGTCAAGGAGGATTGGCCCGAAGACTGTGATGACTGGGGAGGCATCCAGGTTAGAGGTGATGGCTGACTGGCTGGAGGTTGCTACTGAGGTTGCTGCTGCTGCTGTGGCCGTGCGTGCCAGGTGGTTGGTTGAGGATGATGCCATAACTGCTGCTGAGGGGGATGCAAGATGGTTGCTGCTGCTGTGGGGCTTGCCAGGTCATTGGTGGTTGTTTGAAGAGCTCACGCCGCTGCCTGTAGCGGTGGACAAGGTTGAGGCAGTCTATCTGGAATTCGTGCCAGGATTCCTCCGGGATGCCCTGCATGTGCCCTTCCAGCAGGCACGCAAAATCG